CCTGAGGCTCTATCCTCCCTGATGGAATTCCATGGTAATTTAAAATTCAAAGATATCTTTTTGGCAGGAGACTTCAACATTGACTGGGGTAAGTCGACCCCCCTCTGTGATAAATTCAAGGAATGTTGCCTGTCTCTCAATCTTACCCAATTGAGCAACTCTCTGACAAGATTAAACAAAAACAGTCCTGAAAAATCCTCCATCTTAGACCTGTTTCTAACTAATATGCCTCACAAATTCCCTGGTACAGGTGTATTTGCTAATATTTTGAGTGATCATTGTGTGACAGCGACTTTGAGAGATATTAAACTTCCACTTTCTAAGCCCAGATTAATTCAAAAAGGGGATCAGAAACATTTTTGTGAAAAGTCATTCCTTTGGGATCTGTCTCACTTTGACTGGCATCGTATTCTTTTAATTGATGACGTAAACTCCGCTTGAACTTTTTGCATAATAGTTTAATTTATTTTGTGAACAAACGTGCTCCTTTTCGTCAGTTCAGAATAAAGTGACGAGACAGCCCCTGGTTTACTCCAGAGCTAGCTGACCTCCTGCACAGGAGAGATCATCTTTGGGCCACAGCGAGAAAATCTTACTCAGACACTGATTGGTTGAGTTTTTGACAGATGAGGAATAAATGTACAACTGCCATCAAAGCAGCAAAACGCAACTATTTCTTATTTCAGACCTCCAAAAATCTAAATGACCCCAACAGATTCTAGAAAACCATCAAATCTCTCTCAGGCAACCCCCAATCATCTGACATCCCATCACAACTTCTCGTTAACTCTGTTCCTATGTCAAATAAGCACGAGATCCTGAACTGTTTCAACAAACATTTTGTTGCTTCTAGTTCTTTATTTGACACAGTTACTAATGGAAAATCAGCCACTTCCCCTAATAACCAAACTTCTACAAATCAAATCCCTTCTACAAGTCAACCCTCAGTTAAACATAGCTTCTCTTTTTCTCCATTCTCAGTCAGTGAGGTCAATAAACTGTTAAAAGATCTTGATCCTAAAAAATCTGCAGGTCCAGATGAACTTCCACCTTATTTCTTAAGGCTGGCTGCTCAAATCATCACAGTCCCTGTGACTCACATCTTCAATCTCTCCATAAGACAAAACTCCATCCCCGATGCTTGGAAAACAGCCTTTGTTCTTCCTTTGCTGAAGGGAGGTGACCCCACCTCACTGAACAACTATCGACCAATCTCTAAACTCTGCATTTTAGCCAAGGTTCTAGAAAAACTGATAAACTCTCAAATCAAAAATTACCTGGACTCATTTAACATCTTACCTCCTCATCAATCTGGTTTCAGGAAGCAACACAGCACAACCACTGCTTCACTGAAGGTTCTTAATGACATCATTGAAGCACTGGATGCTAAGGATTATTGTGCTGCACTTTTCTTAGACTTGTCTAAAGCTTTTGACACTGTGGATCATAACATCTTGTGTCATAAACTCTCAGAAATCGGTTTCTCAGAACACACCATTGGTTGGTTCTCTAATTATTTTTCAGACCGGAAGCAATGTGTTCAACATAATGGTAATTCCTCGTTATTTAACAGTCAACAATGTTGTACCACAAGGCTCAGTCTTAGGACCCACCCTCTTTACAATCTACAGATGTAATGTTGGTAAAAACATCCCTAATGCATCCATACATTTCTACGCTGATGACAGTTGTTTATTGTCGAGCTAAAACTGTTGCTAAGGTTTTCCAGCTTTTGAAATCTGCATTCAACAACATCCAGACAGATTTGTTCCGCCTCAAACTTGTCCTAAATGCCGACAAAACCAAAGGGATGCTTTCTTCAAATAGGAAGTTGGTCCCAGCAGTTCTTCCTCCGATTTTATCCTCAAATGGTGTCCCAATTGAGTTTGTTGATTTCTATAAATATTAGGGGATTTTGGTCGACTCACATCTCTCTTTTAAGCTTCATGTGGAAAACTTGGTAAAGAAACTGAAAGTTAAACTGGGTTTCTTTTTCAGAAACAGATCCTGTCTAACCCTGAATGCTAAGAAACCCCTTGTATCTGTGACTTTCCTTCCCTCCATTGATTACGGAGACATTATTTACATGAACGCTCCTACAAGATCCCTGCAGATGTTGGATGCTGTCTATCATGGTGCACTAAGATTCATAACTGGCTATGATTATCGTACCCACCACTGCACCCTGTATTCACTGGTTAACTGGACATCATTAACTTCACACAGACTCTCTCACTGGTACATTTTTATATTTAAATCACTTCTTGGTCTGCTGCCTTCATACATCTCCTCCTACATGTCTCTGTGTGAGTGCAGCTATGGCGTGCGCTCTCAGGACATTATTACCTGCAGTGTTCCCTCAATGAGGACTGAACTAGATAAGAGGGCCTTCTCCTACTCTGCTCCTGTTTCCTGGAATACCTTACAAAAACAATTGAAGCTCTCGACCTTGACCTCTCTGAGTGGCTTTAAGAATATGTTGGACTCCTGGCAGGGACCACTGCAGACATGTTCCTGTTCTTAGTTTTCTACATTCGCCTTAGAATCTAGCTGTTTTTTGTTACCTTTTTCTTTTAGCCATCCTATTTGTTTAAAAAAAAAAAAAAACGAGTATGACTTTTTATAACGGTTTATTGTTGTCACTGTTGTCATCATTCTTTGTTGAAATCAGGTCTCTCTTGTAAATGAGTCCTCGAGGCTCAATGGGATTTACCTGTCTAAATAAAGGTTGAATGAAAAATTTCTACAAAGCTAATTGAACAAATCATTCTAATGAGACTAATCAGTGCTTTAGATCACATTCATACACTGATGGGACACACATCAGAGGCTATGAGGGGTTCAGTGTCTTGCCCAGGGACACTTCGACATGTGACTGCTTGTGGATTCAATTCAATTCAATTCAATTCAAAAATACTTTATTAATCCCAGAGGGAAATTATTTGTTGTTGTAACTCATTATCCTCATTTCATTAAGAGATGTTGTAGACACTGATGGCTATAGACAGGAAGGATCTCTTGTAAAGGTCCATCCCACAGTGGATCCTAAGAAACTGGCTACAGATGCTGTCTGATCCGTCCACCCAGACTCGGCTGGCCTCTCGATTCCCCTCGGGCTGTAGGACCGCCCAAATGCTGGGCAGAACTCCTCCCAGAGCGATGGCCATTACTTCTAGTTCCAGGATCTCAGTGATCAGGCACTCGAGCACAGCTGGCAGGTAGATGAGAATGTGTCCAAAGAACATCCTTTCAACTTATTTGAGAATTGGGGCTGTAGTTGAGATATTATTTGAGCTTTTGAGATGTTAACCAGCTGCTGTTGGTTGTAGAAAACTGCCTTGTTGCCATGGTTACGCATCATAACAAATGTTCAAAACTTAAAAAGTTTCAGTAAAAATCCTTCCAGCTGCACAGCATCTGATACCAGAGGAAACAATCATCCAAAAAATGTGATTTACATCCAGAAAAAGAGGAATTAAAGTTTCCAAAAGCAAAATCTCAAAATGAACATAACAGAGCTGCTCCAACATGCAGCCACCGTGAGCGGCGCAATTCTAGAACACATTCGAACATTCGAACCCCAGCTCTCGCATTGGAGGATGACTGCTTTTAACCACTCAGCCACAGCCGCCCCAAATAACTGTGATGCTGTAAGACGCTGCAGGTGTAAGAGACGCTGTGTGTTCAGGTGCATTAAAGGTGAAATGTCTTCCAAACCCCACACCTTATTGTCCTCAAGCTTCATGAGAAACATCATTTAAATGAGTAGTGTTGAACACAAGTAAAAATGACTAGTGGTGATGTTTTTTAATTCTCTATAAACACAAATAGTGCCGACCTACCATACAATACCATACCAATTTATTTATAGAGCACTTAAAACAGCAACAAGGCCAACCAAAGTGCTGTACAAAAGAAAACAAACATGCACAGCGGACAGGAAAACATAAAATAGAAATACAGATACAAATAGCAGCAGAAGCTAACTAAAATGGCCAACAGAGTAGAGAACAGACCTGACGCTCTGTACTAAAGTGTATTAAAGTTAAAATGTCTTTAAAACCCACAGCTGAATTTACACAAACTTGGTGAGAAACATGCTTTAAATGTGTGGAATTAAAGGAAATCTAGGTGAAATGTTACTTTTTTTGTACACTAGTGAACACCTTTTTTTACGCGCGCACACACGCAAACCTACACACATTATTGTGCCCCCCACATTACGGATGCTTCTGACGCCCTTGAACTGAGTTATAGCCATTTTTTGTTTTAGTAAGGTTGCTCTGCTGTGTGTTCATCTTAATCCATCTTGAAATGTAGGTAAATGTTTTTGTATAGTACCCTGACATGACTCATTGGGAAATGGTGCTAGATAAATAAAGTGAACTGAACTGAAACAAGTTGACTGCAAATGTAATTTGTAAATGTCAACCCATTAATCACTTTCTGAGAGTCTCTATTAAATCCATCCACTGTTTCATGAGATATTTTGCTAACAGTACAGACAATTTAACCCACAAACAGGCAGGGCCGGAGTGGGACTCATTTTCAGCCCTGGAGTTTCATGCCTCAGAGTGGCCCACTTTAGATCACGACCTATTATTATTAAAATCATGTGATTTTAAGCTTACATCAGGGGCAATTCTAGAATCTGCACTTTAGGGGTGCTTTTAGCCCCCAGTGCTGACAATGGCTCTTTGGCTTGAACAATGTGGTGACCATTGGTGTCAAAAGTTTTTTTAATGTTATGGGGGGGAGCACACTGGTGGGGGGTCTGGGGGTCCTCCCCCAGATAATATGAATAAAGTAGATGCCATTTCCTGCATTCTGGTGTATTTTAACAGACTGTTTAACATTTAGTTTTGCCTACATAGGTAACACTTGATTCAATAACTATTTTAAAGTTAATGGCACAACAAGAAGTAGCTTGACCAACAGCTCTCCTTGTGTGAATAGAGCACGCTCCGCTTCTCTTATGCATCCTAGTCTAAGAAACATACCGTAGTGTAGCCTAAAATAAATTTTAGGGAAAAAAATCACTATTCAATATGAAACAATAATAATACTCACTCCTTCTTACCAATGGCCTAGCACAAAGCAATATGATCATCATCCATCACGTTTATTAGTAGCTTAAAATGCTTAATTAAAACTCCAGTAATCGGCTAGGTCTACTGTAGCCTTACTCAATTGTAGGGTCAAGAGACAAACATGTAGCATTAACACCGTATGAACAACATTCAGGAATTGTTTCTATAAGAACATTATCAAATATTTTACATGAACGGTAAGATTGCTTCACCTACGAGGAAATGTAAAGTTTGGTATCACCAGCATCCTCACCAACTTTTATAGGTGCACCACCGAGAGCCTGGTGACAGGCTGCATCACAGGGTGGTACATGAACTGCACAAGTCAGAGCCAGAAAGCTCTACAGAGGTGGTGCAAACAGCAGAGGACATCACTGGTAGCAGTCTCCACACCATCCAGGACATCTACCACATCTGATGTCTGTGTAAAGCACGCAGCATCATTAAAGATCACACCCACCCAGCACAAGGAATCTTCCATCTACTACTCTCAGGTAGATGATACAGGAGTCTGCCATTACGTACAAAAAGACTCAGACAGTTATTATCCACAAGCTGTCAGATTACTGAACTCTCAATAAATAACACTGAACAACTGGCAATAACTTTGCACCAAGCCACATCTGTGACAACTAATATGACTAATATTAGCTTGTGACACCTAATATTTTATTGCTAATGCATTATGTGGCTGTATCATGTATGTCACTACCTTACCATCATAATTCATGTTATTCACTACCTGTACAATAATTTGTCACACAACCTGTGTAGTTTGTTAGTTATGTGCAGTATACATCATGTGAATTTAAGCTTATATTACTACCTTGAAATACTTATTCATACAAATTCATCCTACATGCACCATTATATTCTACCATGTTGTTTACTATTTTTTCTTTAGGACCTTGTAAATATTGTATTTACTTTTTCACTTTTTGGTACTTTATGTTGTACCCTTATTGAATGCTTTAGTATTTCTTGTTTGTTTGTTCATTGTTTTAGTGAGTCAAAGCAGTTCTTCTCATCCTGAATATTTTATTGTACTGTTAACCTTGTGTTAACCTGCATATGAAAAATAAACATAACCTGAATTAAGCATTAACCTTTAATTTAAGCATTAAGCATACAATGTAATTACGACAGAAAATGTAGGATTTACCTGCAGTTACTTTCGTTGAGATGAACATGTGGTAGATACTTTCTGTTTATAACTTGTGCTCAGCTGATGGGGTCGGTCCCCAGCTTTTTACATGTTTTCCAAATTCCGTTTAATTTTTGAAAAAGAATAAACTGTATCCCACCCTCTAAATACTCAGGGTAACACATGTCTGGATTACCTGTTCTCCACTGACACCATTTAACCATTTTGTTCTGGTGATTTTTCACAAACCCCTCTGACTGTAAAGCGTCCTGGCTGCAGGCAGCCCCATATCTGCAGGGTAGGAGCGTAGATCGATCGGTAAATTGAGAGCTTCGCCTTTTGACTCAGCTCTCTCTTCACCACGACAGACCTGTACAGCGCCTGCTTCACTGCAGACGCTGCACCTATCCGCCTATCGATCTCACGCTCCATTTTTCCCTCATTCGTGAACAAGACCCCAAGATACTTGAACTCCTCCACTTGGGGTAGGACCTCCTCCCTGACCCGGAGAGGGCACTCTACCCTTTTCCGGCTCAAGACCATGGCCTCGGATTTGGAGGAACTGATCTTCATCCCGGCCGCATCGCATTCGGCTGCGAACCGCTCCAGCGAAAGCTGTAGATCACGATCTGATGAAGCCAATAAGACCACATCATCTGCAAAAAGCAGAGA